GTCTTATATAAGAGTGATCTGGGACTTTCTATTTTAGAATTCAGGATTATAATTCAAAACAGCTTCGACAGTTCAGAGAATTGGTTAGTTAACAGCAAATTTAAGTTCAGTTGGGGAAAATGATGCTAGGAGAAATATGACAGATAAAAATTGCCCAAATTCTGTTTGCAGAATAACTGTTTATGCATGCATTGCCTGAAGGAGAATCTTGGGTTTATAGGGAATGTTCCTAGATTTTTCCAAAGACCTGTGGGGGACTTTGGTATGGTAAGGTCTGTTCTCAAATGCAAAGGAAAAGAAAGCCCATGTGAACTAATGCTCTATTCTAAAAGGACTTAAAATTTTATATTTTCATTTAAGAATTCAAAGACACTAAATTCCTTACTAGAGAACATTAAATGTTCATTTTAATTATTTACTATAATTACTTGAGCATAAATTGAATTTTTAAAAAAAGCTTTCTGAAAGTTATACTGATCTTTATTCAATTAAAATGAGAATATGTTTAGGAAGCTTATCTTTTTTTTTTTCCATGAAATTTTAGGGGAAATAGAATTATCTTTATCTACCAAATGTCACATCCCTTGATTTAGCAATGCTGTCCTAAAATAAAAACGGCATATGTTTATAATTGCTCTCTCCCTCTCTCCAAAACATGAGGAAGCAGTTTAAAAAGCCTGACTCTGTTTGGTTGTAGTTCTTTGTGTGTCTTGAGTGTAATTCATACCATAGAAGCCAGTACCAATATATCAATTATCAATCATTTCTATTCACTTATGGTACAATTCTAATTAATGTTTATTTAGACAAGTGACCTTGGGATAGTTATGATCCAGAGGACTTTACTTTATCAATTGACTTTTTTTTTCTGTTTACTGATGTTCAGCATGGTTTTAACACTATTAACAAATCACATACAATGACTTAAAAATCAGAACCGGGATTTTGCTGTTTTTATTATCCAGAGAACTTTGTCCTCTTGTGCTAATAAACAATTTTTAAACTATTTTTCTTTTCTTTTTTAACCTAGATTCCCACCATTCATAATTGAGTGTCAGATCCTTTTCCAACCAAAATACTTTATATAAGTTACTTATTGTTATTGTTATTTTCGATCAGTACTGTAACAATATAATAGTAGACGTACTTCTTTAGGGAGCGTCATCCCTATCTCTGTGCTCTCTGCATACAGTGTGATTTCCTAAAGTACTGAGAGGCAGAGAGTTCACTGCTCCTCATTGGTGATACGACAGATGGAGAATGAACCTGCCAAGTGAAATGTTTGCTGTGAAAGCTAAAATAAGTGGAACTATAATTCTAATCACTTTGTCCGTCTAAACAGTATCTAGTCCTTGGTGTATTCTACACCTGTGAAAGGTTAAAAAAAAGTAGCAGCTGTACTTTACTTTTGGAAAATAATTTATATATATATATATATATATATATATATATATATACACATATACACACACACACACACACACACACATATATATGAAATTTGTACATGTTCCTTGCTGAAAACTAGGAAAATTTAGAGAAGAATAAATAAGAAAGTAAAAATCATCAATAATTTTACGGTAGAAATAAATCCTACTTACATTTTTTGTATTTCTGAATTTTACATAATTTGGGATCCTCCTGTACATATAATTTCATGTCCTCACTTTTTTCCACTCAGCATATGATAAACACTTTCCCATGCTAATAAAAAAAAAAAATCTCTGAACATAGTTTTTAATGGATAAGTAATACTCATTTGTTTACTTAACTATTTGATTATTTCCAGTTTCAAATTATTTTAAAAAAATCATATGATGAAAGTATTGTGCACAAATTTTTGTGTTCATCTCTGATTATAATGAAATAGCATTGTGCTACCTGTTTGAGTGTATGTTTTTAGTGCTAAATTATAGAATATCACATAAGTACACATCATTATAGGTGGGAATAAGTCTGTAAAGACTTTATATTGTGGTATATGAGCTGTTTTTTGAAGGTTGCACAGCCATGGCCTTGGCAGTATAAGAGAGTCAGGGCATTACAACTGGGGAAAATTCATGAGCTGAGATGTGAATGGGAATGTGCTTGGGCTGTGTGCTTCTATTTGTATGTATGTGATCTAACCACAGTGGAAGGATAGGCTTGAGAAACTGAAGGAAATAAAGTTTGAGGTGTAGGGTGAAAATTTGAAATTATTAGAATAGGTGACACAGCCAAAGGTCCTGAATTTTTGGGACCATTATACTTTTAACTCTTTATTAACATTATTTATGTAGCACATAAATATGGGAGGCTCATGAGGGGTTTGTATTTCATTAGGGGTGATGATATTCAACCAATGAATGCGATGATCTGTCATGTTCTCTTCATAAATACATTCACATTGTCAGACTGTGCATGTTTGAAAATGTATGCTTGTGGTGGCAGTTAGAAATCTTTGGGGGTGCAGATTCAGAGCACAGTCATAATTTAAATGACACAAATATTTTAAAGATTGTTCTCAATATACATTGGAGTGATTTGGTTAAAACCAGGAATAGTAGGTAAAGGTCCATTAAGGAATGCAGGGTTAGAAAGCAGGGACTCTAAAATTTAGCAGAATGAGTTGGAGAAGAGGGCTTACATTTAAATAAATGATTTAATCTAGTAGTTCTGATTATAGAGTAGACTCTTCAAAATATAAAATTCGCAGTCATGAATGCTCAATGAACTTAGGGGAAGGGTAGATGAACTCAGTGGGAGCTTTAACAAAGGGATAAGAAACATGAAAACGAAGATAGAAAACATAAAAAAGAACCAATCAGAAATGAAGAATACAATAACTGAAATGAAGAATACATCAGAGGCAATCCACAGTAGGTTAGAAGAAGCAGAGGACTGAATCAGTGATTTGGTAGACAAGGTACCAGAAAACTACTCAATCAGAACAGCAAAAAGAAAAAAGAATTTTTAAAAAATGAGGAGAGTTTAAGGAACCTCTGGAACAAAAAGAGTGCCAACATTCACATAATAGAGGTACCATAAGGAAAAGAGAGAGAACAAGGGATTGAAAACCTATTTGAAGAAATAGTGACTGAAAACTTCCATAACCTGGTACAGGAAATAGACATACAAGTCCAGGAAGTAAAAAGAGTCCCAAACAAGAGGACTGCAAAGAGACCCATACCCAAAACATTGTAATTAAAATGCCAAAAGTTAAAGACTGAGAATCTCAAAAGCAAGAGGAGAAAAGCAATTAGCTACCTACAAGGGAGCTCCCATCAGACTATCAGCTAATTTCTCAACAGACAATTTGCAGGACAAAAGGGATTGGCAGGAATTATTCAAAGTGATTATAAGCAAAGACCTACACCAAAGACCAACTCTACCCAGCCAGGCTATCATTTAGAATTGAAGGAGAGCTAAAGAGCTTCCCAGATAATAAAAAGCAGAAAGAGTTCATCACCACTAAATCAGTATTACACAAAATGTTAAAGGGAATTCTTTCAGAATAATAATAATAATAATAATAATAATAATAATAATAAAGATAAAAATACAAATAATAAAATGGCAATAATTACATGCCGATCAATGATTACTTTAAATATAAATGGATTAAACATTCCAATCAAAAGATATAGGTTGGCTGAATGGATAAAATCCAAGACCCATACAGATGCTGCTTACAAGAGACTCAGTTCAGATCAAAAAACACACACAGACTGCAAGTAAAGGGATGGAAAAAGGTATTTCATGCAAATGAAGTAGCCATACTTATACCAGACAAAATAGACTTTAAAACAAGGACTGTAACAACAGACAAAGAAGGACATTTTATATTGATAAAGGACATAACTCTCATAGACATCAACACACACAACATTGGGACACCAAAATATATATAAAGCAAATATTGATGGACATAAAGGGAGAGATCAACAGTAATATAGTCATAGTAGGGGATGTTAACACCCAGTTCACATCAATGGATAGATCATGCAGACAGAAAATCAACAAGAAAACAGTACCCTTAAATGACACATTAGACCAAATAAACATAATTGATATTTTTAGGACATTTCACCCAACAATCTCACTTCTGGGTATTTATCTGAAGAAATCCAAAACACTAATTCAAAAAGACATATGCACCCTTATGTTCTTTGCAGCATTATTTACAATAGCCAAGATAGGGAAGCTGTAGAAGTATCCATCAGTAGACAAACAGATAAAGAAGAGGTGGTACTTATATACAATGAAATAGTATTCAGTAGCTGTCAAAACAAATGAATCTTGCCATTTGCAACAACATGAGTGAGCCTAGTGGGTATTATGCTAAGTGAAATAAGCCAGGCAGAGTAAGACAAATACCATATTTCACTTACATGTGTAATCTAAAAAAGCCAAACAAATGAACAAACAAAACAAAACAGAAAGAGACTCAATGATACAGACAGATGTATAGACTTATTGGGGTAATTACTTTGTAAGTTATATAAATGTCTAATCACTTTGTTGTATACCTGAAAGTAATATATTATTGTATGTCAACTGTAATTGAAAAACAAAAATTAAAAGTATCAGTTCTACCCCAAATTTGCTGAATATTTGGGGTGATAGACCAGGTATATTTGTGTGTGTGTGTGTGTGTGTGTGTGTATGATACATATACATATATATCATATATAATATATATCCCTCTAGGTTCTGATGTGTGCCTCTGGTTAGAAACTACTGAAAAATTAATGTGTGTTTTTTCCAGCTGAAGAATTTGTCTAACTGTCTGAAACTACTCTTCTGAATCTTAATACACTTAATACTCCTGTGTATGCATGTTTCTTTTGCATATTTTTTTGTACTATTTTCAGTTCCAGGGAAATTTTTTCTGTTACTTGGTGTCAAGTTGTGTTATAAACATATTAATTAGCGTTACTCTGCAAAATCAATTTTGAGCAAATGAAATGTACTGCAGAAGTTAAAAGGAATTTGTTACTTTTTTTCTTACTGAACTATAGGGACAAAAGCCAAGATGGATAATCAAGCATGGTATCTGAGAACCTCAAAGCTGGCTCTGGCCTTGGCAATTATCCGCTCAAAACCAGCAGACAAAAGCAGCCGAGAATACACAGAGCACCTCGCCATGGTGGTGTCTGGGCAGGAGTCGAAGTGGAGATCAAAAGTTGAAGCCTTGGAAGCTGAAGTTCTGCAATTACGTCAAAACCTTCTTCTGAGCAGGATTTGTTCTGGATTGTTTAAGAGTGGTGAGTGTATGAGATTGCCTTTTGGTAATATATCTATCTGTTTTGTTTCACCTTCATAATTATTTACACATTGTTTAGTTTCCTAAAACTAGACTACTTCTTCTTGCCCCATAGAGATTTTTTTACTTCTAGCCATTTATTAGAAGTTTATTGTCACTTCTTAATGAGTGGGACTATGTTAGATGTTGTGTTTTATATTGCTTTGGTATTAAATATTTCATCTAGCAGTCATATATCAATTACCCGCTGTGGAGCAGGCATGTGGTGGGTGGTGTGGACCCAAAAACACATGACAGGAGGGCTGTCCTTGCCATTAAGTACCTTCCATTCTAGCAGGGAAAACAGACCTATAAATAATTAACCCAGTTGTGATAAATGCAATAAGTAAGGAAGTCCAGAGGGGAAGCTATTCATTCTGCCTGGGTTCTTGAAAGGCTTCTCAGGTCTGGCCCTCAAGGATCTGGCCACTAGTCTGTGAGATGGTCACAGAGCAGCAAGAGGCAGGAGATGAACAAAGGCACAGCCAGGGAGTGTACATGTCCGTTCAGGATACTGCCAACATTATATTTCAGAGTGACCAGAACACCATGATGTAGAGATGTGATGGGGGAGAAAGGAAGAGAGGTGAGTTGGGACCATGTTCAGAAGGGCCTTGAATGTCACCCTAAGGGACTGTTTTACTGTTCTCCCTATCAATAAGTTGACCATACAATATATGATTTCTGTAGGGCCCTTTGAGTGTAAAAGGAAAGGAGTATTAATAATTACACTAGCACACTAGGCAAATGCCAGGACTCACTTGAACACACTGGAACATGTGGTCACCTCATTCATCAGGAGTCATCCAACTTTATTGATACAGACGATTGAGCCTCATACTGGGATTGGGAGACATAATTCTGGTGGTTTTTTAAAGAAATGTAATTCAAATATTGTCTATGTCCATGAGTTTTTGTTTCTTTGTTTGTCTTGTTCCTTTGTTGCTTTCAGCTTTATGTCCCACATATCAGTGAAATCATGGTTCTCGACTTTTTCTGTGTGACTTACTTTGCTTAGCATAATAATCTCAAGATCCATCTATGTTGTCGCAGATGGCACTATTTCATCGTTTGTTATGGCAGAATAGTATTCCATTGTGTATATATATATACATCTTCTTTACCCAATCATCTGTCGAAGGACACTTTGGTTGCTTCCTTGTCTTGGCCACCATAAATAAAAGCTGCAATGAACATTGGAGCACATATATCTTTATGGATAAATGTTTTCAGATTTTTTGGGTAGATACCCAGAAGATGGATTGCTAGGTCATATGGTAATTCTACTTTTAATTTTTTGAGGAACCTCCACACTGCCTTCCATAATGGCTGCAACCAATCTGCATTCCCACCAACAGTGTATGAAGGTTCCTTTTTCTCCACAGGCTCTCCAACACTTGTTATTATTTGTCTTGTTGATGATAGCCATTCCAACTGGTGTAAGGTGATATCTCATTAGGGTTTTTATTTGCATTTCTCTGATGATTAGTGATGTTGAGCATCTTTTCATGTCCTCTTTAGAGAAATGTCTATTCAGGTCCCCTGCCCATTTTTAAATTGGATTGTTTGTTTTTTATTGTTGAGTTGTATGAGTTCCTTATATATTTTGGATATTAGCTCCTTATTGGAGGTGTGATTTATAGATGATGTATTACAGAATTGTACATTTGAAACCTATATAACTTTGCTAACTGTTGTCACCCCAATAAACTTTAATTAAAATAAATAAAGAAAGAAAGAAAGGACAGCCAAAAAACAGAAAGAAAACAAAAATATAAATCAGATCATGTTACTGCTCTGTGGAAAAACTTTCCCTGGCTTCCAGTTCTTCCTAACATTAAATCCAGATTTATGATCTGGATTTAATTTAATTTATAATGCTGTGTGTGATTTCACCTCTACTCACCTCATCTCATACAATCTCCCTGTTCCAGTCACCGTAGGCCTCCTTCCAGTCCTTGAAGGCCCTTCTTTTCTTGCCTTGATCTTTGTTATGCTCCTATCTTTGGCTCTCTTTGTGACTTCCCTTTCTAGATGTAGTAGTCTAAATAACACCTCATCAGTGTCTACTCTATACACATAGTACCTCCTATCAGTTATTCTTTACCCAAACACTCTGTATGGATTATCTATTTGTTTGTTTACTGGATTGTTGCCTAATCTCCTGAACTAGAGTCTAAAATCACTGAGTGTGTCTTTGATTTGCTCAGCCCTCTCTACTAAATGCCCATTCAAAAGCCTGACACACAGAAGGTACTCAATAAATATTTGTCAAATGGAAGTGGAGCACAGAGGATGTTTTGGCTATAGCAGTGATTGGAGGCAAGGAGACAAGTTTTAAAAGCATTTACCAAAGCCAATATGAAGAACGATGAGTTGAACTAGATCGATGATAGTGGGAGCTAAAAGTAGGTCAGACAGATAGGAGTGATTTCAGAATAGACACTTCAGACACGTGTGAATGATTTCAGAAAGTGGTTAAGGGAGATAGAGGCATTATCTCATAGGAAAATTGAGGTTTCCAATCCTGGTTATTGAATTGATAGTGATGCTTTGACTCCAGATAGTAAACACAGAAGTAAGCTTATAGGATAAAAGTTGAGTCCAGGTTTATCTGAGTATAGGCTAATCCCTGAAGATACAGTGATTACCTTGAAAGAAGGCAGAAGTATGGTCCTAAAACTCACAGGGGGTGAGCAGGCTGGAAATATGGCCACAGACTTAGGATTCATTGGCATTTAAATAATAGTTGATGTTATAGTTATAAATGAGACTCACAGGGAGAATAGAGCTGAAGGGTGGGGGTACTGCAGGTTCCCACATTCCCGGGGGAGGGCAGAGGGAAAGGAGTCATTGACAAGAACGTGACTGTTACATTAGGGGCGTGCAGGTGGCGTGCACACATGACTGCTGTGCGTAATAGGGTCCTCACGAACTTTAGTGTTGGGGATTATCAGGAAACTCGCTAACCTAATACCCAGATATTACTAAAATGTCACTGTTGTGTGAACAATAATAGTGTTATATGATGTATAGCCACATTTTATCCTCTCTAGAGTCTTTCTAGGTAATGGTACCCTGTGAAGACAAACATAATCAATTTCTTAATTTTTTTGTGTGTGTGAAGTTATACAGTTGATATAATGGCACACATGTAAAACTTTCCAGTGATCTTAAAGTGTGACAATCATACATATCGGTGGTCTCAAAAACTGTCGTTTACCATGAGGGGTCTACGAGTGTTTATAGCACTGATACAGTGGTATGTTATTATTTGTTTGCAACATGAGTGTGCTGAACAGTGAGAGCCCAGGGGATGCCTTGCGCTTATACTGAAAACTCTCACTTGCAGTGCCTGTGAGAGAAATTTTCAAACATCATGTAACGAAAATCAGTTTTACTCGCAGCAGGAGTGTCAGGTAAAGCATTTCATTGCGGATGTTGGAAATAATCTGTTTCTCCATCTGTTAGCTTAAACTTGAATAATGAGGAATAAATGGCTAGCTTCAGATGAACAGAGCCACTATTAAAGGAGAAAGAAAGAAAAAAAAACCTAAGGGGGTATTAGATTGATAGGGAAATAAAGGAGGAACACAGCTGTTATTGAAAGACATGCAATTTGAAAGACTGACGTGCCTTGCGTGAAGAAAACCCCATACCTGAAAATAAAAACTATATTATAGATGTATTTATATTATTAAATATTTATTTCTGGAATATCCAGCGTTGCTCTACATGTGCAACTGTTCTCAAGTGTTTAGAGACAGCAGGCCCTCAATAAATGTTGAATGGAATACTTCATGACAGATTGAGCGGCTGGGGAACTTAATTTACAGCATCAACTACCCACTGAAGCAACTGAACAACCCAGAATTAAATAAAGCAGAGCTGCAGTGGTGAAGTAAACAAATAAGAAAGTATGATATAATTTTTACAGCATTTTAGGAACTCAGCTACTTCTTTGATTTATTTTTCTACAGCTTCTTAAAGAGAAATATACTTTATTTATTAGTAAGGGACTAGACTGTACAGAGAAGGGGTAAATAAAACTTGCTCTTACAATTATGCTACATACTTATTTTACTTACATGTAAAATAAGTAGTGGAAGAGAGAAAAGAAGGCAGGCAGGAAGGGAGGAGAGCTCAAAGAAGCCCAGATATCCAGTGACACATTTCTCAAAATCATTTTGGTGGTGCGTAGACACAATGAGTTGTCTACTCCATATCCAGCTCTCTTCTTCCTTACTAAAGCCCTCCTCTTTTCTTTTGGTGGAGATGTGCTCATGCCCAGTGGGTGAATCTATGAAAGGCGTGGACTTGTTTTGCCAATATTGTTCTAAGGTTGGGCAGGGGCCAATGAAAGGTAAAAAGCAATGTTCTGAGCTTTTGATAAAGATTTGTTTCTTTGTATAAAGAGACTGAGGCTCACGAAAGAGAACAATTAAAAATCTTTTTTTTACCTCAAACACTTGTTTCACTGACATGTGAAGATATGATGCCTGGAACTGTGGTAGCCATTTTGTAACTGTGAGGTGATATTGAAAAATTAATGGCAGCATGCTAAGTATGGTGAATAGTAGGATGAGAAGAACCAGGGTCCTTCTCAACATTGCTGAGAAGTCAAAGCAACGCTAGGGTTACTTTATTAGGAATTTTTAAAAAGGTAGAACACAGAATTGTTATCCATGTATTCTCTTCCTTGTATCTGAGCACATCCTAAATATACTATACAGCGGGGAAGGGGTGGGAGTCATGAATAAATTAGAGCGGCGCTACTTTTTCTCCCAAGAATCTTTTTGATCTATAGGAGAGAGAAAAACTATGTTCTTTAATCTAGAACAGCTTCTTAAAGATGGCTTCATAATGTTGATAAGGATTTCGTCTAGGTCTGAGTAGGTGGGTGAGTGAGACCCAGAGAATAGACTGGCCAGGAAAGTGTTAGTAGCTTTTCTTAAATGAAGG